GTCTATCTTAAGATGTTAGTTGAAGCAGAAAATGTGTAGTTTTTGTAATGTAAATGTATTTTTCCATGTCTGATAAAGGGATGATAATGATTATGAAGGATATATAAGTCACTAGTTCATTTTTTAACATCTAACTGTGTGTGTGCCCATTGTATGTTTACTGAGAACTTGATTTAATTTTTGTTAGACATTAAGCTATATGTAACATTAAATTTCAGGTTAAATGTATTTAATAGAAGAAGGGTATAGTTGGGAGTAGTTTCTTTGTTATTGAATTGGTAAAAAAAAAAAATTTTGCTTTTATTCCAGACAACCAGATGTTCCAATATTTTATTACAGTTGTGCCAACAAAACTACATACATATAAAATTTCAGCAGACACCCATCAGTTTTCCGTGACAGAAAGGGTGAGTTGATTCCAAGTGGGAAAATGATTTGGTGATTTTTTCTCTCTCTCTTTTTTTTTTTTATTAAATTATAGCTGTATACATTAATGCAAACATGGGGTACAGTGTAGTGTTTTCATATACATTTTGAAATACTTTCATCAAGCTGGTTCACATAAATTTCATGTCATTTGCATAGTCATTGTGTCAAAACATTTTTAAAGCATTTTAAAGACTTCTGGATATAAAGTAAGGTTGGAGTTTTATTTAGTGCCTTCTACCATTTTAAAATTTAAAACGAATTACTGGGGTGACTCCTGTGGCTCAGTGAGTAGGGTGCCGGCCACACATAGGGTGGCAGGTTCAAACCCAGCCCTGGCCAAACTGCAACAACCACCAAAATAAATAAACAAATAAATAAGTAAAAAATAAAATGAATTACTGTTTTAGGTCAGTAATATAGCAGGAGTGAGTATTAGTATGCTCTAGAAGCAGGTGTTCCAACCTTTTTTCTTTTCTGCTGCACAGTGGAAGAATTGTTTTGGGCCATAATAAAACACAAACACGAACGAAAAATGATGAGCACTTGGCTTGGTGGCTGAGGTGCCAGCCACATACACCAGAGCTGGCGGGTTCGAATCCAGCCCAGGCCTGCCAAATAATGTCCACTACAACCAAAAAAATAGCCAGGCATTGTGGCGGGCGCCTGTAGTCCCAGCTACTTGGGAGGCTGAGGCAAGAGAATTGCTAAGCCCAGGAGTTGGAGGTTGCTGTGAGCTGTGGCATCACGGCACTCTACCCAGGGTTGACAGCTTGAGGCTCTGTCTCAAAAAAAAAAAAAGAAAGAAAAAGAAAAATGATGAGCACAAAAAAGGTCCATGCAAACTTTTCATGACGTCCAACCCAGATAAGCAAAACAGTTCTCGGATCATCTGCACGCGGCCAGTGGGCTGCAGGTTGGGCACCACTGACTAAGCAGGCATCAAACTACGGCCTGTGAGCCACATGCAGCCCGCCTAGGACATTTATCCAGCCCGCCGGGTATTTTTGCCACCGCTGCCTGTCCTGCTTAGCAGCCGACTCATCCAGGGGCCCGCAGTCCAGCCCTCCAACCGTCTGAGGGACAGTGGCTGGCCCCCTGTTTAAAAAGTTTGAGGACCCCTGGACTAGAGCAAGAAAAGTAGATATTTTTAAAAGTCCCAATTGTTTATATTCTGTTAAGATTTAAAATTGTTAAACTATGATGATATTCATTTGTTCTTAATATCTTAATTTTGTAATATGCTTTCTCCTATATTGATAGAAGCAGTTTTTAATCCGGTGGCAGATTCTTTGATTTCTGTTATTTCTTTTTTAATGTGTTACCAGAGGCGTGCATGGTTATTGTAGATTAGATAGCACACTTAGAGGGCTTGCCTTCCTAAAATAATGCTTTATATTCATCTTATTGAAAGGAAGAACATTGTGCTGCCTCAGGGTGGTGTGGCCTCATAAATAACTACTGATAGTGAGCGGCAGGGTTTGGAATTGAACAGTTTAATAGATGTCTCATTTACTTTGGGATCGGGTTTTCTTATTTTTTGTATTTAAGAATAGTGACTATTCAAATACTTGTATCTTGAAGAATTCTAAGGCAAAATTGAAGTGCTTTTTAAAATTTGCTTCTCTCCATATGGAGTTGCCTTTTGATAGCCTTTTAACTTATGATGACCATGCCCTCAATAATTGTACAGTTTTTCTTATTCGTAGGAGATTGAGCATTGAAGTTTTTAGGGGTAAAGTGTCATATATTTATAAATCGGTTTAGGGGTAAAAACCATGATAGACAGTTACGTGTCTATGTGTGTGTTTACACATATGCAGAGAAACTAAAGTTTATACGAGTATAAACTAAGCCTTTTCAACATTCTGTACTGGTTGGGCAGTATCCTTTCTCACCTGTAAGATTGGCAAATACCTGCCAACAGTATTGGCAAATACCTATACACAGTTGACAAGGCTTTGGGGAAAACAGTGGCGCGCACGTTGTATGGGCACGCACCATGGATAGTCTCTGGAAGGGAGTTTGGCATTGTCTACAGAAGGGCATACGTGTTTACCCGTTGACCCAGCAGTCTCACTTCTATATATCTGTTCCAAAGATACAGGGAGGAAACCACAAAAATGGGTGTGTATCAGGCTTTGCGTTGTTACCTACGGAACACTAGAAACAACCCCAGTCGTGCACCCACACAGTGGAGGAAAAAGCAACTATAAAAAAGAACAAAGAACAGCTCTACGCTGATAAGAGATTACCTCCAGGACATACTGTATTTCTTACATAACAAAATCCAATTAAAAAGAAAAAACTAGTAGAATCCTAGAACATTTAACCTTTCAGGAATGTGTTTGTGTGAAATAGTTATTTCACTTAAAAAAGAAATGGTGTTTCTAGAGTTGGTAAAGTGCAGAATAAGGGCAGGGAGAGAGGGCTGACCTTTGTTGATTTTAGAACCTAAAGTGAATCATTATTGGTCTCTTGCCAATAGATATCCTGATACCTTCTGACAATATATTGCTAACTTCAGCATGATATTGTGCATTTTACAGCTTTAAGATGAAGTCACTTTCTAAAAACTTGATCAATAGGTTGGTTATAAGGCTCAGGTATCCTAAAGGTTGTCATACACACATACATAGGAAAGATGGGAAATTGTAGTATACCTTTAACTGCAGAATATTCATTACCAAATTTTACAGACTATGTGTTGATATAGAAATATTAAAGGTATAACAATATAAACTATTCACACACAGTGTATATCTATGAGTTTTTTAATTTTCCTATATGTGGCGACTTTTGGGACAACACTGTATTATGCTAATAATAGGGAAAGGGTTTTATGATGCCCCACATAATTTTTTTTAATTTCCCTTGGTAGTAGTTAACCTCATTATTTACATTCCTAAAGATTGCAGGTTACTTATACTTTGGTAAAAATAGGTAGAGACTGACACAAAAGTAGCAAAGTACTCAGCTAGCATAGTTATTGGAACTATGAGCGAAATTAATAAGTTTGCGTACTTGATTTTGAAGTATAGATAGGATGGAATGGAATAGAGTACTTTTTCTCGCTCCATGTGTACACTGGTGTATATATATATTATATATATAATTTTGGTTATACTCCTTTAAGAAAAATTGTCTTTAAACTTAGTAGTTCAAACATTGATACCTTTCAAATTAATGTATTATGTTTTCTTCCTATATTTTTTCTCTTATAGTTTAAAATGAACAACAGAAATTGTTTTTAAATCTGACTGCTTAAATAGCACGGAATAAATACAATTATTTTGTAAATTCCTGGCAAAAGAAATAGTCAAAAAGTATCAAAGTATAAACTTAGTTTTTATTGATCAGTGAAGAACAGGACATACAGTCATGTGCCCTTGAGCTCAGTAGAAAAGTTGTATGTAAGTTAATCCTTTTGAGAAAATGAGAAAGAAGGATTCTGCTTTTTTGAGAATTTTGAAAGCTAACTATACAGAGAATGCAGAATTATTTGTCTATGAAGAGCTTAGTCTAGTGGGAGGATTCAGGAGATCTGGACGTCCTTCACTTTTAGTAGAGCTAAGTATGAGTATATGCAAGCAATCCAAGATGTGAACTCTTTCTCTCTTCCTCCTGTCTGTCTCCTTCTTTTTAGGAACGCATCATTAACCATGCTGCAGGCAGCCATGGAGTCTCTGGGATATTTATGAAATACGATCTCAGTTCTCTTATGGTGACAGTTACTGAGGAGCACATGCCATTCTGGCAGTTTTTTGTAAGACTCTGTGGTATTGTCGGAGGAATCTTTTCAACAACAGGTTAACATTCATTTCTTTTTTGGTCTAATTCCTAAGTTTGCTTATAGTTAAATTAAGATGTTTCTATGTAAAAGAAGCAAGAAATGCACACATTTTCATGGTTTGATATTTAAAGGACTTTCTCTTTGTTATTTAATTTCAAAGCTCCAAAATTATATTGACTGACCATTAAAAATAACTGGTTTTTCAGTGATTTAGGGGAGATTATAATGGTGAGCTAGAAAGATCCTGGATATTAACATTAAACGTTAGAACTAGAATTGTAGTCTTGGAATGGTACTAGTAATGCCTAATTTATAAGTACGTTACAGGAGTAAATGAGAAAATGTCTAGAATAGTGGACACTGGAATGCACATTTCCCTTTCTTTAAGATATTTTTAACTCTACAGTATGAAAGTCATATTACTTCAGAATGTACAAGACATGGAGCTAGAGTTCAAATTGGTAATGTCTTATGAGTTTGGTCTGAGAACTGAATTCTCTGATTACTTACAGAAATTTAACCATGAAAATTGGGACTTCAGTACAATAAAGAAAGGAAACAATTCCCTCTTCATTTTTAGTATTCCGTATTAGATTCAGCAGGGTATTTTACATACTTAAAGTCATATTTTTTCTAAGACTGAACAGCTTTTCTTAGGAAATTCTTTGTTGTGACTTTAAATTTATTTAAATTTGTAGTGTCAATATCATTGATTTTTCAGAATTGTGTGGGTATGCGAATACCCTGAAAAAAGTGTGTCCAGGTCACGAATTATGTGGCCTTGTGATTTTGAAAAGAAATCCTTTTGTTTTCAAATTCAACTGTCTTGATTATTTTTAATCATGGAAATTAATGCAATTTCTTTGTATTCTTTCCTTATCTATTCCATTGTAATTAGTTGAGTTTTTTATTCTTACATAGCATTTTAGGAAATAATTTAATCAAAATCATAACCTTATTGTTTATTTCAGGCATGTTACATGGAATTGGAAAATTCATAGTCGAAATAATTTGCTGTCGATTCAGACTTGGATCCTATAAACCCATCACTTCTGTAAGTGGTCTCATCTACATGGTGGTGATCTCTAAAGTACAGTGTCATTGTTAAGTTGAAGAGTAGCTTTTGGTGTGTAGAAAGAATTGCACAAAATACAGCTTTGTGTTAGAGGAAATAGTATAAAGGGTAAAACTAATGCTGTGATCCCCCCCCCCCCTTTTCTCTCCAGGTTCCCTTTGAGGATGGCCACACAGACAACCACTTACCTCTTTTAGAAAATAATACACATTAGCGCCTCCCAAGTGAAGGAGAAAAACTTTTTGCCTGAGACACAAAACCTTTTTTAATAATAAAATATCGTGCAATATATTCAAAGAAAAGAAAATATGAGAAGCAGGAAACATACTTATTTTAAAATGGAAAAGGAAAAATAACCCCAAACGGAAATTCTATATATGTTGTGTCTGTTACAAATGTCCGAGAAGAAATTATGCAGCTAATCAGTGAATAAGCCCAACAGGAAATAACTGCCTTGAAAATAACTCCTGATACTTTCACAGCAAATGGGCAGAATGGAAATCAGGCCTTGCTTCTTGGTGACAAAAAGCCTGAAGGAAAGAAATGAAACTAAATCTAAAGAAAAAGACATTGATAAGTGTAAATGTTTGCGTCCTTTTGTTTTTAAAAGATATGGTGTCAGAATAAAATATGGAAAACATGGAAAACTAGTCTAGCCTTTAAAAAATTGTGATCAGGTCACATTGTTAATAAAGAAAAACAGGGACTAGTCCCTGTGTTATAGCCATACTAATGGTAAGCCATATTGACAGACCACTTATCCAAGAATATGGTCTTAGGAAGGTAACTGCTTTTCTTCGAATTCTGGGTTTTGTCTTAGAAGACGAGGTGAATTCTCACAGAGGCACATATGTAGGTGCCGTAATATGTAACAGAGGTATCATTCACAGTTTGGATAGTGGAGACTTACACAGGGAAAAGAAAGCACATTGTTTTTTTAAAGATGAGGGTGAGTTTCCTAATGTGATCATTATATTATAGGTATACTTTGGGGAGAATTGGCTGGGCTATGAAAAGATCCACTTCTGATGATGAAAATTATCAGTTTGTTAAATATTACGAGGAAAATTAGAATATTTCATACATGGGATGAGTGGAGAACAGGGTATTTAAAAGTGTCAGGAAATTTTAAGTACAATAAGAATGTCAGGATCTAAAAGGTACCATATTAAACAATGTCCATTGAACTGTAAAATTGGAGTATGAAAGAAGTGTCTGCAGTGAGGGGGTCCTGAATGCAATCGGTTCTGTGTTAGATTGTGTTGTTCTTTCTTACTATTTATGGGTTGGTTTTAAATCTCCAGAATATGAAAGATTACAAATAATAAGAGCTACCAGATGCCATTAAAAACTATATTTGGAATATGTGTGCCAACATCAGTTTTCCTTTTGTAATACTTAGTAACAGTAGAAAAATGACCAATTAATCCCAAAGTTTAAAACATTTATGGAGATAGGAAAACAAAATCCCAGGTAAGTAACAAGACTGAAAGACTAGGTTTAAAATGGTGGTTTTAGAAAATGAGTTGTCAAAATTACAGTTTTTCAAGGGAATTAAAAAAAAAAAAAAGGTAGGCCAGGTGCGGTGACTCACGCCTGTAATCTTAGCACTCTGGGAGGCTGAGGCAGGTGGATCACTTGAGCTCAGGAGTTCGAGATCAGCCTGAGCAAGAGCAAGACCCCATCTCTACTAAAAATAGAAAAACTAGGTGGGTGTTGTGATAGGTTCCTGTAATCCCAGCTGTTTGTGAGGCTCACCTGAACCCAGGAGTTTGAGGTTGCTGTGAGCTATGATTTCATAGCACTCTAGCCTGGGCAACAGAGTGAGACTCTGTCTCAAAAAAAAAAGATAAAATGGTTTCTTAAAAACAGAATAGATAATATAATGGAGAGGAAAAATGGGGACAAAACTACTTTGTGGTAAAGTTTGTGTAGAATGATATTTTGCGAGAATAACAAGCATCTTTGTTTAAAATACACAGTATCATTAAGAGCCATGAAGTTAACTGACAATGTAAATAATTACGGTATTAATATATATTAATAACGTGCTTTGAAATATTTTGAGTCCAGAAAATTCCAAATAATGAACTTTCTCTGACTTTTGATTTGTTTCCTTCAGATATTATATCTAACAAAGTTGGACTAGGAATAACAGAACGTCTCTCAACAAGAGTTTTAATTGGTGAGATTTAGAATTTTGGGTATTTTAGAATGAATGTTGGTCCTCTAAATAGGCTTGCTTGTAAGAAAATTCAGTTGAGTTTCAGTGTTTTTTTTATATATCAGATAAACAATACTGATTTAAGATTCTTTTCAGTTGGGATTATAAGAGTTAAATATCTTTTAAGAAGATTCCAAAAATTATTTTGATACTTATACAGGATTTTTAATTATTTCGATGTTTTCCAAATACCATATTGACTATAAAAGGAATTTCTTTAAAGCAAAATTTTGCTTTGCCATTGTTTTCTATTGTAGAGGTTAGGAAAGAATTCCATCTGAAACTGATTCAAATAGGGTTAAATTTTTGCCAGTAACTATCCTGTCTGGCCCTTTGGTCGATTACATATACTTGCAAATTAGGATGTGTTAGGGGTTTTGGACCATGTGTTTCTTTTCCATCACAGAGACCACTTTATTGACTTAACCTACTTTGCAACTTTCCTTGTGCCTGGAGGTGTCTCCAGCCAATTCTCCTTTTCATTTTATTAGGATATTCATAATACCAGACCACTTATTTAAAAATCTAAGACCTCATGTTATATGAAATGGATTTTTTAAAAAACTATACTTATATACGTACATTGACCTACAAAGAAGATTAAACATTTAGGTGAGTAATTCGCTGCTGCAGTATTTCTATACTTAAGATTACCTCCATGTTAGTCAATATTACAAAAGTACTTCTGATTTTCAGCTTAGACGATTGGTATCACATTGTTTCTCACATACATTTTTTTATAGCATACAATTTTATAATTTAGAAATGCAAATGAAATTTGCTATCTTAGTAGTCTGAGTATCCTATTGTGATGATATAGTCAGGCATAGTTCTTCCCCCTTTTTGGAATATTTCTTCAGTCATGAAATTGCTTTACATTTAAGAGTAGAAAATAGGGTCAAGTGTGGTGGTTCATACCTGTAATCCCAGCACTTTGGGAGGTCAAGGCAGGAAGATTGCTTGAGGCCAGAAGTTGAAGACCAACCTGGGTAACATAATGCGCTTTTATGTCTACAAAAAAACATTTTAAGAAATAGCTGGTGGTGTGCCCCTGTAGTCCCAGCTACTTAGAGACCCTAAGGTGAGAGGATCACTTGAGTGCAGGAGTTCAAGGCTATAGATGGGCCCCCTGCACTACCAACCTGAGTGACAGAGTGAGAGACCTCATCTAAATGGATAAAAAGATACATTGATAGGTAGGTAGGTAGATAGGAGAAAACAAACTGCTCTGAGATTTTTGGTTTTCTTTTTAGTTTTTTAATTTTAGGAGAGAAAATAACAAAACATTTATTTGATGTCTCAACCACAAACATTTGTACTCAAAGTGACAAGCTATAAACCATTTTCTTGTCCTAGGAGAAAAGATCATAAATCCTCAAATTTGCCTCAATTTCCCATATTTAGTTTTTTTTTCTCATAAGAAAACCACAAATTTTTAAATACCATGTGGTTACATTTGTTTTCCCTCCAGATGGAGCTAAATTACTATATGAGATTGGCTTTATTTTATATTTTTATATTAAAGATGAAAATGACAATATTGAATAGCTCAACTAAGTCTATAAACCTGTAAACAAATTTGAATACAAACCAGATTGCAATCAGTGAAACATTTAAAGTTTTTTTGACAATTCCAAATAATATCAAATGTTTAACAAAAGAAATTAGGTTAATTCTTCTAAATATCATAATTCGTTTATGCTTTTCAAATGTAATTTAAAATAAAACTACTCAGAAGGCATGGGGAAAGTGTACATTAATGAAAGCTATATACTACAGTAGATTTTCAGCAACAGTTTATATAACTAATAAATGTTTGAAAGTTCTTTGTATTCTGTTTTCAAGTAGTTATATGAATCAATCTGGTGCATTTTTACCATTACAGAAGAGATGTTTCTGTCTATTTAAATTCAGTTTCAGTTAAGATTTGTTTACCATGGCAATATCTGTACTTCAGGGCAACACTCTCTTTCAAACCAGTTACATCTTAAAACCAGCAATTGTAAGTCTTAGTTTGGTAATTTTTTAAAAACTAATTTTAAAAAAGTAATCTAGGCAGTGAGCATTTTTCCAGACCTCTGTCTGGGCACATGGGACACCACTAACTGTGATGTTCCCAGACATTATTATTAGAATAGCAGTTCCAAAAACAGCTATGTGGAAATTTACACATGATCCCTGTGAACTTTAAGGATTATTGATATTTTTGGAAACTTTAGGCTGATGTTTAATTTTTTTGTTCATTGTGAGATAAAGCACTTGGGTATTATGAAACCAGTCTACCTTGAGATACTAGTCATTTAAATGAGATGTTAAATGGAGGTGATGATGTTAGATTAGTATAAAATGGTGAGAGGTGTTTTTCTGAGTTATACCCACTTGCCCCAACTTTTTCTAGTATTCGTTGGCTCAGGCAGTGACTGTCTCCAACTCTGTAATGCCTGACACTATTTCAGGTATCCTGTGAGTGCAGAATATTGGGATTACTAAAACTTCCTTTTAAACATAGGTATCTTTTCTTTGTACTTTCCAGCCTCTTCCTCCCCAAAGTAGATAGAAGATTCTTTCCCATTGCTTTGCATATATTAGGCATTCAAATAATTATTGACTTGTCTTGATGTGAAATATATGTGAGGGATTTTCATAAGATGCCACTTTTACTGCTTTATCATCACAGCAGAACTTGGTGTTGTTTCTCTGATGCCACAGGTGAAAGAATTCTTGTGTAAATGTAATCCTGTTAATGGTGTCAGAAAAAGTGAAGCATTATGTACCTATATTTTAATTTATATTCATCTAATAATTACTCCTGTCATTTGGTAGAAAGAGCTCTTTTCTGGGCGGAAGGGGTAGCACAAGGTTTAATACAGTATTCAACAGTTAGTTAAAGACACAACACTAGAAGAGAGGGGGAAATTTAATTCAAAATTTTATTTAATCAAAAGTCAAAATGTGAATATTTGATTAGTAGAGTTATTAGTGAAACATACAGTCAAAAAATAGTGTATTCTTAGTGCTGTTATGTTTTAATCCAGTTCCACTGGATTATATCTTGATTTTATGTTTGTTTATCATAGGGTTTGTATCTTAATTGATGTAATTCCAAAGTATCATATAGATGTCTCAAGCTAAGGATCACCAGGAGCTTTGTTTCATAGTTGGGCTGTGTGCCATGGCAAGTAGTTCCCAGAATTCAGATGAGACTGGGAAATATTGCCCAGAAGAGGAGTTCCCCTTATGGAGCTCAGGGCAATGTGAAGTAATATGGGGCTAGACAGAGCCCTAAGGCCTTGTACACTGAAACTACCTGAGTGTGCCTTTCTGAATATTGCCAGTTATTCCAGCAAGTGAGCATAAATATAACTGTCATTCTTTGTTAACCTTTTATGCCTGTGTAATGTTCAAGTAGTTGTGTGGTGGTTATTACTTTTTAGTTGCCTGGTCCCCAAATACTACATTTGAATAATATTCCACGTGTTTAACAAGGAGTGTTACAGTCCAACAAGCACTCATCTCAAATATGAGGAAAGTTGGGATAAAAGTTATTAGTACAAGAATTTGAGAATATATGTAGTTTTTACTAGTTTTTATTATATATAAAATATTTTTAAGCAAAAAGTGATACCTTTCTAGATTTGATAAAGTCTATTCACTTTTCTGCTGTACATTGTACAGTTACGGTGCAATTGGAATGATCAAGATACTAGTAAATCCTCTGATGATCACAGAAGAGTAATCTTCCCTACTTTATACAAGATAACCCAAATTAGAATTTAAAGTTTTATTTGAAATTTTGCTTCCTCAATGGCAAAGATCCGATGAATGGGAGTTTGTGTAATTGTAGTCTAAGATGCCTCCCCCCACCTGTTAGCTGCTCTAATTGAGGCCTGAGGGAAAAATAGCTTAAATATAAGGAGTTTGACAACTTCAATGGACAAGAAGGAAACTCTATGAGGAAAACTGGGGATTAAAAGTATTTAGAAATAATTTTTGTCAAATTCAAATTATGAGATTCTCGAAGGCAAATATGCTTAGCTCCTCATCTATTCATACTTATTTACTCTTATTGTTGCCTTTTTAGGTTTAGGAAATGGGTATAGGTACAAAGAAAAAAAAAAGTGTTCAGAGCGTGTTTTTCTGGTTTCCCCACCTTTCAACAAGGACTCCAAGGTAATTTCCATTTTCAGGGGAAGTATTTCTCCCACAGCATGGGTAAGGAGAGTGAGGTGATTGTTTCTCTACTCCTCTTGACTTTGAATCTTCCCACTGCATACCCCAGAGTGGTTTCAAGGTCAGTACTGTCTCTAGTTTAATCCACCTTCTGCCATGTGTTCCTCCACATTTACTGAGTTTAAACTAATCATCTCAAGGAGAAAATAAAACATAAATATAAGACCGTGGGAGCACTTTCCATGTTTAATATGCAAGAGCATAGAATAGGATTTCAGGAAACAAGTTGGAAATGTCTTCCTAAAATATTTGTAGTTATAGGGTAGGTTATGATGACTCTCCTCTTGCCAAAATAAGAATATATAATTAAAGAGTGGGGAAGAATGTGTAACAGCCCATGTGATAGCTTGGGCATATTCCTTGTTACTTCCTAGTCTTGAGAACCACAGTTTGCTGTTTTTAAGGTATCTGAGAGGTTCCAGATAAAAGGTGATTGCCAAATGTTCTCAGGCCTTGAGTGTGCTGGATGCCCTAAAGTAGGAAAGGAATTTATAACAGAAGCTCACGATGAAGAACCAGACATTCCGAGCCATCTGAGATCTTGCAATTAGAAGGCGCCAGACGATAAGGAAGAGTGCAGTATTAAAGAGGTAGTGAATATTTCGGAGCCTGGGAACAGACATACATAACCAAAGTTAAAACGACCAGATACCCAACTACATCACCTGAAGGTAAACAGGTCTTTTCTTGGCTATGACCAGCAAATATTTATGAATTGCTCACAAGATAAAGTGGCATAACTTGATGACCTTTGGTTTTTGTATCTTTCATTTCCATTATCTTACTGACTAGTCAGATTTCCACCTTATTTCCCTAATTTGTCTCACATACCTCTTTCTACTCAGAGCTATTTACAAGCATGACTTGCACAATCTTTCTTAAATATGCTTTGGTTGTCCTACCACATCACAAATCTTCACTGGATCTACTACTAGGTGGTAGATGCTAAAGCTTTTAATTCAAGGTTCTTCCTTTCCTGTTTGCAGTCCATGTTTCCATCCCTATCATCTCTGCACTGCAAACCCTCTGCCTCTACCACGATTTTACCAGAGTGCTGCAATTCTTTGTCCTTTGAGGATTATGGTTGAAAGCAATGTAAAGAAGTTGAAGGAACTAGATGGTAGGCAAGTAGTTTTCCCAAGTTAAATAGCACAGTCATGTCTGTCTGCTGGTTATTCCTAATATCACATGATGACAGGGTGTTGAAGAGGAAAGAGAAACATGGGTTCAAATCTGGCTCCCATACGTACTGCGTGTTACATGGGCATATTACTTGCTGTGGTTGAGCCTAAATACCTGTTTGATAAAAATGGGATAACAAGAATAATACTTGGCTCTAGGAGTGGGGTGAATCTAAATGAAACAGTGTATTACAAGGCATAGTAGGCGTAGCACAGAGCCCAGGACTGATAATGAGCAAATGCTCAAGAAAATCTTAATTTCTCCCCTTCTCTGCTCAAGTTTCATGTCTGGTATAAAATCAGATTACATGGTAGGTGTTTAACAGTGACTGACTGATTATACTTACCTTTTTAAGTGTTGCCTTGCTTCTGGGATCCCAGCCATATCTTCTTTCAATAAGTACTTTTTAACTCCTAAAACGTAATTTTCAATGTATTCTAACCAGTTCAGCTGGCGCACATCAAAGTTGAATACCTGAAAGGCAACAGAGGTTATAGCTTACCAGAATCGTGCTGCTGGACCGTTGCTTTGTCCACCTGATAAAGTTTCTCTCATAAATGAGTGACTTTCCTTTTGGGAGACATAAGTTAGACCTCACTAAATGAGAAATTATTTGAGCTATTATTTCAAAGATACTGGTAATAGGGATTTCCATTTATATAGGAATATTTAAATACGAAGCAAGCCAAACATTTGACATTTAGGAAGTCATGTGAGGAAAATTTAAAGAAGCTGATATTAGTCTGGTGAAAACTTATGGTTGGCTTGATGTCCTTTTTTTTTTTTTTTTTAAGTAAATGAGTAATTATTTTTTAAAGTGGTAGAATAATACATTAGTGACCAAATGTAAATGATGCATCTGTCCCTTTTCCCTTAAGTTTTGGTATTGCACCCTTGGCCTGGCATCCTTTCCTATAGTATTGCCACTTCATTATGCAGATTTTAGTAGGCTTTGGGAAGCAAAGCCTTAGGAAATAGGTCAGTGGATTAACATGAGGGTACGTAGATGAGGTTACATTTTTGAATTTATAAGGTAAAATGTGAGTTGTGTTGAGTGCTTTCCCCAGGAAGTGTGCCACATACCCCCACACTGTGGCCATTATATATGGGAACTTTCTGAATCCTCTTCCTTTCCCTCCCTTTTCTTGAATTTAACTGTGTTTTTCTCTGCTGTGGACCTGTAGTTGTTCATCTGTTAGATTCATATTAGTAATTGAGTACATGAAATGCTTATTTTCCATTCTTGAGACGCTTTTACTTGGAGAATGTTCTCCAAATCCATCAAGGTAAATACAAAAGATGCAAAGTGTTCATCTTTTTATGGCTGAATAGCATTCCATGGCATATGTATACTACAGTTACTAATGCATTCATGTGTTGATAGGCAGTTGGGTTGTTTCCACATGTTTGCCCTTGTGAACTGAACTGCTATAAACATTCAAGTGCAAATGTTCTTATGATAAAATCTTTTTTTCTTCTGGGTAGATACCTAGTAATATGATTGCCAGATCAAATGGAAGATCTACATTTAGCTCTTTGAGGATTCTCCATACTTCTTTCCAAAAAGGCTGTATTAGTTTCCCTTCTCTCAACAGTGCATAAGTGTACCCCTCTCTCCACACTCACACCAGTAGCATCTCCAGTGTTGGGACCTTGCGCTGTGGGCCATTCTCACCTAACTGGGGTTAGGTGTTCTCTCAAAGGGGTTTTGATGCATTTCTCTGATAATTAGAGATGATAAGCATTTTTCCATGTGGGTTTTTTTTTGTTTTTTTTGTTTTTTTTGCCATTTGTCCTTTTGGGAAAAGATACTGTTCATATCCCTTGCCTAATGATTAATAGGGGTTTTTGCTCTTACTGATTTATTTGTAGATTCTGGTTATTTGCCCTTTGTCGGATTCAGAACATATGAATACCTTCTCCCATTCTGAAGTTTGTCTATTTGCTTTGTTGATTGTGTCCTTAGCTGTGCAGAATCTTTTCAACTTGATCAGCTTTGTAACTTTGTTGTTGCTGCAATTGCCAATAATATCTTCATAAATCCTTGCCCAAGGCTGGTACTGTAAAGAGTTTTTCTCACATTTCTAGAGTTTTTAATCATTTTGTGTCTTTGATTCAAGTCTTTTATCCAGTGTGAATTAATTTCTGAAAGTGATGAGAGGTGCAGATCCAGTTTCAGTCTTCGGCATGTGGCTAACGAGTTCTTCCAGCACCATTTGTTAAGAAGGGATTCTGTTTTTCTGCCAATGTATGCTTTTGTTTGATTTATCAAAGATAGGATGGCGATATGAGGCTGGTTTCATCTTTAGGTTTTCTGTTCTTTTCCATAGAACTATTTTTATACTGTTTTCCTGCACCTATGGGAAGCCCACCTCTTGCAGTTTGTACTCTCAATCTGTGTCCTGCATGATCATTTATGCGGTCATGGCACTTGTAGTATAATCTGAAGTCTGTTTCTATTTTGTAGAACTGTGTTGGCCATTCTGGTTTTTTTCTGGTTTCATACAAGTTGAAGAACAATTTTTTCTAGTTCTTCAAAGTATGATGGAGGAGGAGGTTTAATGAGAACTGTATTAAATCTATAGATCACTTTGGGCAGCATAGACATTTTCATGATACTAATTCTTCCCAACCATGACCATGGTATTGTTTCTTTGATTAGATTCTCAGCTTGACTATTGTTGATATATAGGAAGGTACTGATTTGTGAACATTGATTGTATATCCTAAGATAGTACAGTATTTCTTGATCACTTCCAGGAGATTCATGGTTGAGTCTTTTAGATTTTCTAAGTATAAGATTATTTCATCAGCAGACAGTGAAAATTTGACCTCCTCCGTCCCCATTTGGACACCTTTGATATTGTGCTTTTGCTTGATTGCATTGGCTATCACTTCTAGCACTATGCCGAATAGTAGTGGTGATAGTGAGCGTCCTTGTCTGGTTCTAGTTCTAAGTTAAAGTATTTTCAGTATTTATCCATTCAGAATGATACTGGCTTTGGGTTTGTCATAGATGACTTCTATTAGTTTAAGCTATGCTTATTTTCTTAAGTGTTGTTATCAGAAAAGGATGGTGTATTTTGTCAAATGCTGTCTATGCACCTGTTGAGAGAATCTTATGGGGTTTTTTGGTTTTTTGGTTTTTTTTTTTTGCAGTTTTTGCAGTTTTTGGCCAGGGCGGGGTTTGAACCTGCCACCTCTGGCATATGGGGCTTTGAGCCACAGGCACTGCCTGAACCATATAGTTTATATTTTTGCTTTTGTTTATGTGGTGAATAGCATTTATGGATTTGTGTATGTTGAACCAACCTTCACTCCCTGGAATGAAGCCAAGTGAGTCATGATGTATTATTTATATTTAAAAAGAGGGTGAAAGAAAAGAGAAGTGATTCAAGATGGTAGGTTCATTCTTGAGCCATCCAGGCTGTGGCTCAAAAGGGCTAAATTGGTGAAAGAGGAGGAGGAAATGAGCTTCAAAAATTGAAAAATAGTTTTGATTTACTATAAGGAACTTGGAATACACATTGTTAATCAGTAGAAAGAGTGTCAAGAAAATTGTGGTATTTGAAGTATTAGGTACTTTTTGGAAGGTTTGGGTTTTAGCCTGTTGAAATAATGTCAGATAAAATATTGCATCACTGGGTAGATTTGGTTTCCTAGGTTTTGATTTTGGTGTATTTGGAGAGACTGGCCTAAAAAATGAACTTGTGTTAGCATAAAAAAGTTTCCAGTATTTAATAAATCTTAGCAAGTGCTTCAGTCCTCCCCACTGGGCACACTTCTCTCACCTGAAAATATAGCACTCTCGTTGTCTATTAAAAAGCTATTATTAGTGAAGAGTTTCTCTCATGTGCAAGGAAGAATTGCCTGATTAGTCTTAGCTGATTTAAACTTACAGTGGGTCCTCACTAGCAAGGATTTTAATAGCAAAAAGTCTTCATTCACATAAATACTATTCCTAGAACAATAGCTGGCACAAAGTAGGTGTTCAATAAATACTTGCTGAAACACATGAATGAATTATAGAGTTTCAGTCAAGTTAAATTTTAATTTTAATAGCCAAAATGTGTCTTTTTGGTTAAACAACAGTTTCTTCTGTTATTTGACCTTTTTTGACTTGTATGAATATAACCAAAGTAGACTCTTGGTTGTTTTTTATTTTTTTCCCCAGACAGCTACTCTTTGATGGAGGCTTAGATTACACCAAATAAAAAGCATAAATTATCAAAACCAAAAAGCCGATTTCCACTACAAGTCATTTATTGACCTTAAAATAGCTACATTGTTTTCTGAGAATTACTTGGAATTCACATGCCTTACATCTTTCCTCCAGCGTCTATAATTAGCTTCTAGGAAATACTAAACTTCTAAAGAATGTAATTAAATTTGACATCTTAAAGATTTAGTAATTCTTTAGGGCTACTTAATTTTGACTCCTTTATATGCATGTAAGATTTGTGTTTATTAATCACAGAAAATCATCTTAGACCTGGGAGGGAAATAACTAAATATTAATATCCCTATTTAACTTTCTGGGTGTTCAGTAAACATTTGCTTAATAATGAGCCCTTTGCTAAATCATTATCCATATTGCTTTTGGTTTGTCCTCTCAAATTTCATGGAGAAACATGACAAGAAATAACTTTTTAATAAGTTATTAATGCATTTGCTTTAGAGATGTTATCCATTATGTGTCTCCTGCCATTTATAGGGCTTCTTTCATAAATAATTCTTTTTGAGTTAAATGGTAAGAAAAGATTTACTTCTCCTGGAACCCTGGTATATTTTCTCCTTTTGGACAATGAATACTCAAAACTATATTTTCTTTCACTTTGCCATGAGAATGCTCAAGAACAAACTCCTGGCTTAACTATAGCGACTTAGAGATTACATCATGAACATTCTGGGTTTTACTCAAGGCTGTGACTTCATATTCTGATATATTTTCCCTGGTTTTGTGTTTTATTTCTATCTTGTTCTTTTATTACCTGTATTTATTGCAAGATATCACAAAACTTTATGGAATCTGGGACATTAACCAAGGGAGCAGATGAAGTTAACAAGGTCCAGAGAGCTTCATAGACTTGTCCCAAGCTGAATTGCTTTTCGAAAGTAATTTCATTATGACTTTGCTTGGATATATTGTTCACAGTATTACTAAATATCATTTATTTATCTGTAGAAACAGAAGCTTTTATTTTCATGCTGTTTCACATTTCTAAGTTAGATTTCGACAAAGCCCTAGTTTGGAATTTGATTCCATATGGCAAATCGAGCTGAATTCTGAGCCAACTCAGAATTTGGCAATTACATTTAGGTTTATTACTTTTGCAAAGATATTTGGAGAGCATATATTAAATCCACTGAAGCTTTGATTCTTTTTTTTCCACAAAATTTTTAGTTATTTTAAGTCGAAGAGGTAAAATGTCAAAAATGAAACTAAGGTCCTTCCTTACTTTTTGAATTATTCACATGGGTAAATTACATGAAAAATTACAATAAGGATAATCCTACATAAAAGTAGAAGCTAATTCAAAAATATATTAGCTTGAATTTATTTATTTTTGTTTTTATAAGCTTGTTTAATCATCACCCACATGTACTAGAGCTCTAAGAATTGTGACTCTACAAAGTATGCAGACATTCTGAACAGCCGTACCTCACGTCATTTTGAGAGGTACTCAGCAATGATTTCAGATACAATATCCCTCAAAATCTCATCTGGTTCACTTACTATAACATATATGGTGTTTGACATTTTAAATAACCCTTAAGTTCCATGGCATACAATAATTCCAGGGCTTGGTTTTGAATCATGCTCTGTGAAGCTGGTATGTAGAAATCCCTGGCGGTAACAAGCTAGCTAGCTGCCTTGCATTTATTTCTCAATGTGATTCAGTTTTTCTATATACTGTGAGGTACAAAATAAATCAAAAAATACTTTTTTAATAGGTATTTTTCTTAGTGGAAAATGTCAGGAGAGTGAAAACTTTAACATTTATTTGATAACTTTAGTAATAGCACAAGGACATACTCAGGGAACACTTGGCCCTTTGAGAAAACAGAGCTGGGAGCAGGTACAGAGTACAGAAGGTTTCTGTATTGGTGAATTTCTGAATATGTAAAGATTGTCTCTGGTGACTGCCAACAAGCTAAAGAAAGTAATGGTCTTCATATTAAGCAATTAAACCAAAAGCCTCTTGAGAAGTCAAAGTCTGAATTGTTGAAGAACAATATTGTAAGGAGGAAGCCTGACAGTGTAGGAGGGAGTCTCCGATGAAATAGAGTGCATAGGATTAGTTTTAAAAAGTTAAGAGCAGGCGTGGTGGCTCCTGCCTATAATTCCAGCTACTTGGGAGGCAGATGTAGGAAGATCCCTTGAGCTCAGGAGTTCAAGACCAACCTGAGCAACATATGAGACCCCTGTCTCAAAACAAACAAACAAAAAACAGGCATGATAGCCTGTGCCTGTAGTCCCTTCTACTTGGGAGGCTGTGGTGAGAGGATCACTTGAGCCCAGCAGTTCAAGGCTACAGTGAGCTATGATCACAACACTGCACTCCAGCCTGGATGACAGAGTAAGACCTCATCTCTAAAAAAAGTAAAAGTAAATAAAAAAGAAGGAAGGAACTGTAGCTGTGGAGATGCTGAATGGTTCTTATTTGACAAGAATAGTGGATGTAAGCATTTATGAGCAATAAAACCATTATTTTTCATTGAATTCATATGCTATGGAGGGTAGGGGAAAGACAGAGGTACTCGGAGGTACTGAGGGGTAAGGAAAGGACTGAAGTGCCGCAGATGAAACAGGACCGCAGCACAGCAGTGAGGATTTAAACCCAGCAACCTAGGTCTCGTGCCTACATTCAATATGGTTGTCATAGCAACTCTCCTCCCCAGTCGGTGTCTATCACCAAAGCTTCCTTTATTCATCAGCTCTCAAAGTCGAATAATGCTGCATTTCAAATGAGTGACATTCTCCCGCTGTGTAAATTGGGGCTGTACTTACTCTCTGGTCTTCAGGACTCAGCTCAGACATCAGCATCTCCGTATTGTCCGTACTCCACTCCCAGCTCCGGTTGACGAAGTACTCCAGCATGGACACAGTTCGTAAAAGTCGATTCATGAGCTTGGTCATCCTGAGGGGAAGATGAGACAGGAGCAAAGATCAGCACACCACAGATGGCTGCTTCCCTGTCACTGTGCAGGGACAGATGAGGAATTATTTTGAAGAAAATATATAAAGTTAGCCTACTCCCTCTCCCCCAGTTCCTCATGAAAATTCTTGTTTGTGTTTTCTTCTGCATTGACGCTCTGTTCATTCAACAGGAAAGGAAGGAGATGAAGCCAACGGAGCCTGTTCTACTGTGCATTTTACCACCACCACCCTCCACTTCCTTTTTCTGACATCTCTTAAGTATAGCAGACCTATTTTAAAACTGAGCCACCCTTAATAACATATTGTTTATTTTTAAATTCTGAGGTAGACAACTAGAAAACCTATTTCTGTTCTTTAGTGTATGTTCTTAGATTTAAAAAAAAAAAAAGTGATAGGACCTGCGATCTTAGTATCTGGTGAACCAAAACCAGTTGTCAATTGTAATGAAGATTTAAGAGAAAAGAATTTGTGGATAACCTATGTTAGGCATTGTGCTGGTAACTTTTGGAAAATATTTTCTCTGCTAATTTTGTGAGATAAGTATTTTTGTGCATTTTTATGGTGGGTAACATGAAATGTACAAGCCAAATTCCAGCCAAGTTTTGACACCTCATAAAACCTCTGCCTGTGTACTCTCACCACCCTCTGTAGCATTAATTAAGATGAATCACATTCTCAATCCCATGCTTGGGACTTGGACCAGATCTTCTCTGTGAACCTCCCAACTTTATAACAATTTACAAACACTTTTCATATGCAATCTTACTTATGCCTAACAATGTGACTTACATTATTAATCTTCATTTTACAGAAATATTATGCTCAAGGTCAATCTAGATAATGCCCAAACCTAGGTCTTTTAGCTAGAAGTCACCTTTGGCCTATAGAGCATTTGATTTTTTTTTAGTTAAGCCAGTCTATGTAGAAGTGATTATTGCAGTTGACTCAGTAATGATTTATGATGCTATTTTGGGGATTTGTTCTTATTTCTGGTCAAGTCCTAATACTCATGTACCTAAAAACTCATGAAGTACTTCTCTAACTGTATTATGGAGCATTTCTTAGGCTAGAAGTGGATATCATTGTGCCTTGGTACCATCATCATAATAGGGTTCCGTTTAACTATTATTATCTAAACCTTTATTCATTCCCCAACTCTGATGCAATTCATACAGTTTCAATAAATTTATTTTAATTTTTAAAAAGAATGGGTGTCTATGATATTATTGTATGTATAGGACTATATCAGCTTGATGGCATTTTTTTAAGAAAAAATACTTTCCTTATAAAAGTAAGAAAAAAATACTTTTAAAAAGTATTTTAATAAGGTATTTAAAATAAAATATGAAAATATTAATATTTAATATTAAAATATTAATATTTTTAATTAAAATACCTTTATATCTTTTAGGTAGGGAAGGTCTTCTTAATATATAAAACACAAAAGCTATTTAAAAAGCAATGATTCTTTTTATCACACAAAAATTTAAAACATTTAAAAATAGATTATTATATTCTAAGCATTTCAATAATAGAACCCTATTACAAATATGATTAGTAACCCCTTTTTGTAGAAGAAGAAGTTAGGACTTAGAGCAGGCATCCTCAAACTACAGCCCACGGGCCACATGCAGCCCACCTAGGACATTTATCTGGCCCGCTGGGTGTTTTTGTTGCTGCTGCCTGTCTTGCTTAGCAGCCAACTCGTCCCGGGGCCCGCAGTCCAGCCCTCCAACAATCTGAGGGAGAGTGAACTGGCTCCCTGTTTAAAAAGTTTGAGGACCCCTGATTTAGAGAGATGAAGTAACTTAAGGCTTATTAAGTTATAAAGTAACTTATGAAGTACGGTCTGAGGGTTCAGACCGTTAAATTGGCGAAGTTAGGATTTAGTTAGGATTTCAGCGCTACAAGTCTGACTCCAAACTCCATGCTCATAAGCCTCATATACACTTATACTACAAAAATCTTTATAATCAAGGCTAAAAATAACTGGGAGAAAACACGTGAAATACATATTTATACACACACAAGTTCTCATAAATCAATAAGGATGACCCAATGGAAAAAATAGACAAGGAACGGGGAAGCAAGCAACTAACAGAAGGGAAAACTTGAATGTCCAGTGAACAGCTGTCTTCAGCAATCAGGAGCATGCGTATCAAAGTAACAAAGAGATGTCATTCCTTACCATGAGCTTGACAATTCAAAAAAATTGATTTTTGCAAAATAGTAAGGAGGGTGAGAACTACTTTGTGCCTTCATACACTGTTGTGGTAGTACAAGCCAATAGAGTCTTCCTGGCCACCTGGCAGTAGTCACAAAATCTCTGTACCCTTTATGCCAATCTCACTTCTCTGCATCCTCCCCAGACATAGTCGTATAGTCCACAGAGAGCTGTGCACACTGATACTCATTGCCCCATGGCTCAAAGTAGGAAAAAATACTCCACAGAATGCCTTCAATTTCCATGGAAAATTAGTGAGAAAAAGTTGAGAAATATGTACGATTGATTTATGCACCTACACATACCCCTACGTCAAAGTAAAATTACATTTAAATGTTCACATATCTGTATATAGAAAGGCATAGACACTCACAAGCACACCTGGAGAAGCAAAGGGTCTAGAACAGTGGTTCCCAACCTTCCTAATGCCACGGTTCCTCACATTGTGGTGACCCCCCAACCATAAAATTATTTTTGTTGCTACTTCATAACTGTAATTTTGCTACTGTTATGAATCATCATGTAAATATCTGATATGCAGGATACCCCCCAAAGGGGTCATGACCCACAGGTTGAGACCGCTGTTTAAAGCTTTAGCAGTTCTGCCTACAACTGTTGGTGTTTCTTCTGTTCCTATCTTTATTTAAAAAGCCCCATAGAACTGTTTCCCCCACAATCATAGTGGTTCCTATTCACTCTGCACAAAAAGAGCTGAGTTACGAGCTATACGTGAGGTCTTTAAAAATTTGGGGTAAACTCTACACTGGCTAAGTTTTAGTCATTTTCACTGCTAGTAAGTATGGAAATTCAACATGCCCAATTCTTATAAATGGGCTAGTACAGAAGGCAGTTCATTTCATGCTTCTGATTCTGGATCACAGGAATCACCTCTGCAATTATAATAACGGTGCCTATGACACAAGCAATGCTGTTATTCAAGTGAGACAGAGAGGGACGTGTCCCGTGTCCAGCTAGATGGTGAGAGAGCTGCCTTGGCGTCAGCACACTGCTCCCTCTAACGTCTTCACTCATCTCTAGGTGTCAGTAAATCCAGTTCAGAATACTGGCTTTGATATTCATCTCTGTTTACATCCTTCCTATCACTTCCTTTGAGACTACTTCAAATTCTTCCCTTAGCTTATTCTTTTTTTTCCAAGTAAAGGCAGTCATGTCTAATTCCCTTAGCTTATATTAATATTTCTGCAATTTTTTAAAATTTTCACTTTTTAAATTGGGATGATGAAGATATCTTCCTTGGGTGGTTGTGAGAATGACAATGGGATCATCATGCGTCATCCTTAGCCCCACAAGTGCCACACAGTGAGTGCTCAGTAAATGAGGCTGTTATCATTAGTGTGTGTATTTTTAGATTAACTCTTTAGAAAGCCCTAGTGGCAGAGGCTCAGTTGCTTTTCTTTTCTGTGTGGATGACTGCTGGCTGAATTCAACAAGCCAAGTTCCTTAACATGTAACTTCTCTCATTATGCTGGAGGATTTCCAACATAGGAGTCCTTGTGACTTCTCTCTATAAATAACTGCTTTGTTTGTCCCCAAATTTATATAGGTTGAGTATTCCTTATCCAAAAAATGTTTGGGACCAGAAATGTTTTAGAATTTCAAACATTTTTGGATTGGGGGATATTTGTGTATACACCTTGAGATAGCTTACCGATAAGAATCCAAGTCTAAAGATGAAATTCATTGATGTTTCATCTTCACCTCCTACACTTAGCCTGCAGTGATTTTATATAATATTGTAAATAATTTTGCACATGAAACCACGTTTTGATAGCATTTTGACCGCGACCTGTCACATGAATTCTGGTGTGGGATTTTCCAGTTGTGGTATCATGTCACTACTCAAAAAGTTTGGAATTTTGGAGCATTTTGCATTTCAGGTTTTTAGATTAGGGATGTATTTACGTGTTAGATTCAGCTGTCTCCTCTGATCCTCAGCTGCAGGGAATATAAAAGACTTCAGGGTTCTGATTTCCCATGCACTGGGACTCAAAGCCATTGACTCAGCTTCTTACCTGGGCTTCCTCCCTGTGAGTCGCAGATAGAAGTCGTAGATGATGGCTGGGGCATGGTGGCTGACTGCGTTCCAGTACTGGATCATGAATTTGTTGCTTGTAAAGTCAGCGTTTGGCCTCCTGAAAGCCCTCTCATATGGGATTTTTTCAAATGATGCCAAGATTGTGAATCCTGGGGGAACAAAAAGTACTAAGTCTAGGAGAACATGAGTTCATCAAAAAGTGGAAGGCATTGGCAATGGGTCAAAATAATACAGACTAAGGATTTGCTGTGTAGAGTCAAAAATCAATTTCTAAGAACAATGTAAAGATTTTTATGCCAGGCAAATGGTCATCTGCAAAATCAAACCACATGAAAGGGATAAGATTTGGGTCCTTTTCTTGAAACATTTTCTGTAAAACAAATTCTTGGGCAAATAGATTTAGTAAATTACTATTCAGAAAAATGTAAACCCATAGTTTAATTCCAAGGTTATTGGGTATACTCTGAAAACCCCAAGACAGAGATGAGGGGTCTTATTTCCTTGGTTGAATCCTTACTTGCAGAACCATTATGAAAGTTCCTTGGCATTTCACTTAAATCTTTATTAAAGGTTTAAGTAAAAGATAATAAAGCCAGGACTCTCTTGTGCTGATGGACTTTAAATACCACAATCTTTTACTTCTTTGGCATTTTTACTTCTCTGGGAGTGAGAACATCTGCCTCAGTACATCGCCAGAGATTTTTCATAAACTTTTTATAAATTATTTATATTAAGCTTAGTTAAAAGAAAACCTTTTTATGTACATTTGTGAATTCAATGGTTCTTTAAAAAATATATCCATTTGAATTCAATTTTGATTTAATTTATCTAGTTTTTTTTCCTGGAGAATATGTCTGAGCTTATTATTCAATTATGATGAAGCAATCAATTATTATGGTAACATGATTATTACCCTCCCTAAAAAGATACCACCTAGAATATTACATGCTAATCCAATATTTTTTGGGAGTTCAGCCAAAAAGTTTGGGGTCATCCTTTCTTTCTTTTTTTTTTTCCTTTAATGAGCCCAAATCAGGTCTCTGTTTGAAAAATATCCAGTATCACAATTTCTATTCCTATCTCTCTACTCGAAACCACCACTGTAGCTTAGAATATTGCAGCTGTGCCCTAAGTGGTCTCTGCCACCACCTGTGCAGGCCTGCAGTTGGCTCTCCAGACAGCAGCCAGGGTGATTCTTTTAAAATGTAACTCAGCTCACACCTATAATCCCAGCACCGTGGGAGGCTGAGGTGGGAGAATCGCTTGAGTTTAGGAGTTTGAGACTTGTCTGAGTGAAGCGTGAGACCCTAACTCAACAAAACAATGAAAAAAAATTATTTTTTTTAAATAAATATGGCGGTGAGCTCTGTGGCAGTGAGCACCTGTAATCCCAACAACTTGGGAGGCTGAGGCAGCAGGATGGCCATAGCCCAAGTCTGAGATTGCCATGAGCTATGATGCCACTGCGCTCTGCTCAGGGCATAGGGTGATCCTCTGTCTCAACAACGAGAACAACAACAACAAATGTAACTCAAAGCCCATTCAGAATGCTTCAGTGGAATCTCCTGTCCCTGGAGGGAAGGCCAAATCCTGAGGCTGTTATCTACATCCTCATGCCCAGTGCTCCTGGCTCTGCCTTTATCTTCTGGCCTCCCCCCTCTCAGGGTCTCTGCGGTTGCCGTACTGACCTCCTTGCTGTGCTGGAAAGGAAGAAGAGCTTCTGGACTTGTTCCTTTAATTTGGAGCATTTCCCCCTCACATCCCTTTGCTTTACCTCCTCACTTCTTTTAGGCCTCTGATAAGATGTCACCTTCTCAGGGAAGCTTTCTTTGGCCACCACATATAAAGCGGCCTTCCTATTTCACTCTTCTTACCTCTTTAGTCTGCTTCATTTTTCTTTAAGCACTTAACTACATCTTATGTCTATTTCTCCCTGCAAGGATGCAAGTACCAGGAGAACAAAGCTTTGTCTGTTTTGTTCATACTATACAGTATCTTGAAAGATGGTTTGTAGGTAACCATTGCTGAGTAGATAACTTTTTGACTATATGAGTGAGTGAATGTCTCAGCAACATACAATTACCATTTCATAAATCTGTCTCAACTCTTTAGTCATTACAAAAACATTTATTTAGCATTTAATCCTTGCCAGACACTGTGCTAGGTGCTAGGGTTATAAAATATATCTGGTATATTGGTATGGACAAAGTGAGATTGCAGGTCTTTTCCCTGAGTATTCTGCTGGAGGTCAGTACACTATGGTGTGGAGGAATACACAGACAAAAGAAGCATCTAACTCCGGGTGCTGGGGTTGGGAGTGGTGAGGGTAGGTTAGGAAAGGCTTTCCGAGAAAGCTGTCTGAATTGCAACAGCAAACATTTACTGATGTATTTATTGTTCTTGTCACTTTGCTAAGCACTTTATCTCATTAAATCCTCCCAAGAGCTTTCTGAAGTAGAATGATTCTTATTTGGATTTGACAAGTAAGAAAATTGATATGTAGGGAGACCTTAAGTGATTTTCCCAAGTTCCACTGGTAAGTAGTGGTGTCTAGTAAGGGGGAGGACCTACACCAGCATGTGTTCTGCGTGGGCATGGATTTCTGTTCAGTGTTAAATCCTCAGCACCAAAAGTAACGCTTATTCAATGAATACAGGATCTGATGAATGAGCTGTGATTTGAACCCACATCTATTAAAGCCACAAACTCTTAACCATTAAGCTACTGTGTTCTGAAGGACAAGTAGGATCTCATGCATATGTAGAAAATTGAATTTCACAAGTATAAACTACACATCTACATATTCATAGGTCAAAGCAGGAAGCAAAATGAGACACTTTAAATGCTTAGAAAATACTGATAACACAAATATTACAGGGTGGAATACAGCACAAGGGACATTTGAGGGGAATGTAAAGCCTGAAATGCTCACAGAGGAAAAGCTGAATAACCGTGAGGTATGTTCCTACGTAAAATGAAAGGAAAAGGGAAAAAGAATTCAAAGCCAACAGGGGGGTGGGGATGTTAGAAATAAGATGAGAAATCAATGTTGGGGAAAACAAAGGAGCAGAGGAAAGAATCGATACAGCCAGAGGTTGGTTCTTTGGAAAAATGTATAAACTCCTTTGGAAGACTAAGGGAGAGACAAAGAGAAGACTCACTCACCATTGTTACGAATTGAAGGAGAAACAGAACCACAAATATAGCGCATGGCAAACGCAAAAGATCATACCAATGATTTTTATGTAAGTATTAATACATTTTAAAACTTAAATGGACAACTTATTAGAAAAAGAGACAAATATAATTTACTAAAACTGATTCAGGCAGAACCTGAAAGCCTGCACAATCCTATAGTTATTGAAGAAGTTGGAGCAGTAAACATCTTCCCATAACAAACCACAAATCCAGATAACTTATAGGTAATTTTATCAAATCTTCAAAGACTGGATTATTCCAATCTTAAACCCTGTAGAGAATAGAAAAAACCAGGGAAATAGACTTAAACTCCTTCTGGTTTGATACACCAAAGTCAAAATTAGACAAGGACTATGTAAAAACCAAGAGGCAGAATCTTATTTCACTGAAGCATAGCTGTAAACATCCTAAAAAAATTATTAGCAAATTAAGCCAACAGTACAGAAAAGATAACAGGCGATGACCCAGTGGGATTTATCCTAAGAATGGCAGCAGAGTTTAATATTTGAAGACTTCTGTTCAAAATTAGGAAAGAAAACAATTTTTCATTTTTACTCTTCATTGCATTAGAAGTTCAACAAGAAAAACAAAGACCCAAATTTTAGCAAGACAAGT